ATCTTGTACTAGTATCTTATTTATCATACTTAATGACTTAATCTTATTTATTAACTTCAGTGGGTTTCCCTGGTGGCTCAGACGGTAAAGAATCTGCTTGCAATACAGACCTGGGTTTGATCCCCGGATTGGGAAGATCCCCTGGAGAAGGGAATGGCTACGCACTCCAGTATTCTTGCCTGGAGAATCCCATGGATGGAAGAACATATCTGGCTGTGGTCCATAGGGTCACAGAGAATCGGACATGATGAAGCTATTAACACATACAGACTTCGACTTCTCCCTCATTTATACCCTTGTGATTTTTCTCATGTCCTTGTTTGACTTCAGAAAATCTTCACTTCATCTGTGGAGTTTAAATAATCTTTCACACCTCTAGCTATAATTTTTGCCTTATTAACCTTAAGGTCACATACTATAGTGAATCATGTATCCAGTCACTTTTCCCTGTTAGCCCACCATCTCCCATAGACGGTCTCTCCATAAACTTGAATTCTGCCAATTATGTCACCATTTGGAGAGTCTCCCCTTTTATATTGTGTCACAGTGTCTTAGGGGCTCCACTTTTTCATTTTTTAAAAGTTTATGGCATGTGGAGCCCTCTAAATAACTTGTCACCTCCCATCACCTGCTGCACATAGCATTTGCAGTCCTTATTTCTGCACGTCACCAAAAAAGAAATCAAATCCTGATGTAATTTAAACATTTGGGAAATATGAGAATTGTGCAGGTTTACACGTTCTCACATGCTCATTAGTGGTTTTTGAAAAGTACATATCACTTCATTTGCCATTGTGGGCACACCTCATGCCAGGGTTGTGACTTATTAATCGCAAGCAACTACTTTGAGCTTGCCTCCACTTGCTCTTTTCCAAATCAAAGGTATGGCCCGATCATAGGAAATGTTAAGCCAAGAAATCAGTGTATTGAAAGACTTTGGGGTTCTGAATTAAGATGTTACAGCATATTGGCAGTTGAAGCTTTGGGTAAGCCTAGTACTAAGGGATAGTGAAAGAATAAAGGCTTGCCTGGTGTGTCTTCACACAGTAACCAGCAGGCTCTGATCTGCTGAAGCATGCCTGTTGGAACCTGTATGCAGCTCTTTCAGCTTTGCAGAACAGCTGTCTGAGGAATGCAGTTGTACAAAGGGGTTTGAGGATTGTTTGTAACCCTTCAGTAAGAAGTTTACGTAACCCATCATGTAAAATGTGGTTAAACCTACATGGTAGTTCAAAGAGTCGCTTTACCTGAGCACTTGCTTTCTTTTGAACAGTACCAGGCCTGGCCATATGGTTCCATATGCTTTGAAATAACTTTTTTTTTTTCCCCTTCAAGTTTGGAAATGAAATTCGTTATTTGACCAGTTTAAGTAGTATGTAAACCAGTCCATCCTAAAGGAAAATCAGTCCTGATTATTCATTGGAAGGACTGATGCTGAAGCTGAAACTCCCATACTTTGGCCACCTGATGCAAAGAACTGACTCATTTGAAAAGACCCCGATGCTGGGAAAGATTGAAGGCAGGAGGAGAATAGTGTATTCATTTTACTCCAGCAGTACAGTTCTTACTTTCTTTTAAACTTGAGTCTTTCTCTCAGTGGCTTCTGGCACTTCGTTTTCATTCCCTCAGTTAGGTTTTTTAACCACTGTCCTATGTTGGCCAGAGCTAGGAGATGGCATCCAATGAAATGGCTTTTGCGTGCCAGCTCCAGCATATAACCAATTTCATGATTTTAGGCACGTTAGGTGACTATTCTGAGCTGTTTCCTCATCCCTTAGGATGTGAGGGGGTGATCAGAGCCAGCCCATGGGGATGTGCATAAAATCAGTGCAAGTTCAGATCACAGAAAGGACACAGCTATGTGGTACTGTTACTTAATCAGTAAAAGGGAAGCTGTTCATTCAACCAGTTTCTTAGGCTGCCTACCAAGTTCTAGATAAAATATGAAGGCGAAAATGACTTGATCCTACTTCAGAAAAGCTTACAGTTCAGTATGGCCCTCGGGTCTTCCGTTTCTTAACTTAGGTTTATTGGTATGAAGGAGACTAGATCTAAGAGGTTTGCTTGTCTTTTAGTTGGTGCAAAGGTGCTCACCCAGATGTGCTGTAATTTGTCATCTTTACATTCAAAGACCAGTCTATTGCATATATCAATAGAGTATAGTATATGAAGCATAGCATAGTAATTTATCTTACATGAATGTCCTGAAACATAACTGGTATGGTAATTTAGTGATGTGCATGGCCTCAAATTCAGGCATTCGTGGCACAAGTAGGGGAGTTTAGCAGCTGACCCCTTTGAACATAACGCCTTTACCTGCCCTCAAGCAACATTTTTTCCCAACTATGTAGATTCTTTTTAAAAAATTATAATGGCATTGATGTTTAATTTTCCATATTAACAAGCTTTAGTCATGCTTTTTAAGTGACCTTTTTTCTTTTTAGAGATGCAATATATGTTTGTTATCCGAAATTTGAGAAAATATCTCTTTCCCCACTACTGATTTATATTGAGCTACCCATCACTAACGATAGAATAAACCTTGGTTTCTGGAAGAGTCTATGGCTACTGTTGGCTCAGTTGCAAGACATAATACATTATGTCTGCTGACTCTTGTGTCAAATAAATGATGCCCATGAATTTTGATTAAGTGAAATGTCGGATTGACCATTAAGTTTGTTCAGGCTTTCCTGTAAGATGGCATGGACAACCCAAAGGAACTTTTTGGCCAACCTAATACCATGTGTAAATCCTTAGTACATCCTACATAAGTGTTTGGTTTTGTTTGACATTATTGGTTTCTTCTCTCTCTCTTTTTTTCTTTTTTGAGTTAATGCTTCTTTGGAGGTATCTTCAGCAGTCTTTTTTACAGGTCACTATCGGTCAGCCCTTTCGGTCTTGAATAACCTGCAGGCCTATTTTGTTATCATCTGCCTACCTAATGCTCTGAAGAAGAGAAGGATCTAGGACAGCATTTTTATAGTCCCTTTTTATTCCCTCAGAGCAGGCTGAGTAGAAGTCAGAACAAGTCCTTTCTGAGTTAACTGCACATGCAGTATCTTATATACTTTCTGACTTGAGAGTATATAGCACAGAAGCTCGGCATTCAGTAGCTAAGCAAACAAAGTTTTTAGTTAGCCCTCTGCTTGCAACAGGAAGTGTGGTTGGATTACATGATCATTGATGTTTCAGGAAATTAAGGCAAATCAGCTTTATACAAAACAAACCCAATGACTGGGAAACAAAGAGTTCCATTTACTGTGGTTTTGTTGTTGCTGGTTTATATTGAATATACTTTGCCAGGTTTTTTTTTTCCCCTAGTTATATTATATCTAACATTTCTTCCAAAGATATCTTTTTTTTAAAGTAATTTTTTTATTGAAGGATAATTGCTTTACAGAAAGATGTATCTTTTGTCTTCTGCTTGTGTATATCCCAGCCAGGCTGTTTTTAAAGCAGTAAACCTGTTGAGTGACTTTTTCTTGTACATCATTATGATTGCTGCTGCCAAGTTCTGCATCTGAAGGCTGTGTCTTCTAGCCTTGCTAAAATAGGAATTTAGCTTCTACTTGGTAAATATTGGGCTTCCCAGGTGGCAGGAGATGCAGAAGACTCGGGTTCGATCCCTGGGTTGGGAAGATCCCCTGGAGGAGGAAATGGCAACCCACTTCAGTATTCTTGCCTGGAGAAACCCATGGACAGAGGAGCCTAGTGGGCTACAGTCTGAAGGATTGCAAAGAGTCGGACACGGCCGAACACACATAGATAAATGTTGAGCAAGGTCTACGTTTACAAGTGGCTAGCAGTTTTCATTTTTTGTGAAGAAACTTATCACAAGATTTTTTTAGTGCATTTGAAGTGATTTATTTTTTTACCATAGATTCCCCCAAAAATAATGCCTGCTTACTTCAGTGGCAGGTTAGTGACTGAACAATGAGTTTGCAATAAAAATTGTTGATAAGAATATTGAAGAGGTATTTTTAGAAGTACTCAAGGATTGTAACTTCTATATAATTTGCTTTTTGGAACATCAATAATACTCCCTATTTTTTCCCCCAGTTTCACTTGCAACATATCCTCAAATAGTCATGCTTGTAAATTTTGGGAAAGTGGGAGGGAACAATTACTGATTTATTCCTTTGATGTTGGATATCTCCATGGAGGAGGTAAAGAAGAGGAGGGGTAGGGAAGGGACTAAGATCGGAATAAACATGTACAGATTGGAAAATGTTTGCTTTTAATATTTAGGTTCATCATAAACCTGAATGCCTAGAGATAAGTCTTAATACAACTTTGAGGACATGAACTGAGTTTCTTTCATAATTTCTACCTGAATGATAGCAGTAAGGTTAATAACTTTTTAGACAACAATCCTATTTGCATTTGTCTACTGCTTTGTCTACTGATTAGTGTTCAAGCAGATAGAGGAAGAGGTTTGTGTGTGTATAAAAAAGTTCAATGTTAATAATGTCTTTTGGTGTAATGTAACTGGTGACAGTTGCCTCAATAAGCTTTATACATCTTTTTCTGTATTTATTAGGTTAATATAGTACTTTTAAATTAATAATATTATTTTATTTAATAGTTTATTTAATGAAAAGTATTATTAGAATAATATAATACATAAGTATTAATTAATAATAGTACTTTTTAAGTGTCTGGCACTGTTTTTGTTGTTTGTTTTCTTTGTGTGGACCTGGGAACTTAAGTCTCAGGGCTGGCAACAAACCCCTTGTAGAACTTGTAGTTCTGCTTTTAATGCTCTGAATGTGTGAAACATTCAGCTTTGAAATGATAAGGAGCTTGGACTGAACAAGTTTCTGTGTTTAAATTGGAAAACGTAACATTTCCAGGAAAATGAAGCATTTGGTGAATAAAAAAAAGTTGTACCTGTCCCACTCCCTCTTGTTTCATTAAGCACTTTTTCCTGTTTATATGTGAAAAAGCGTTTTTGGACATTATTTTAAATTCTGCAATGTCTCTGCCCCTGCTTGTTCCAGCATGCTCAAAGATGACCTTCAGCTCAGTGACAGTGAGGACAGTGACAGCGATCAAGTAAGTTCTGTACACCCCGTGATACCAAGAGTCCTTTAATCCTCAGTATTTCAGAGCCACTTACCCTGTTTTTTTGTTCTTTTCCTGGTCCTCCTTCCTCTTACTATGAATGCCTAGACCTCGGAGAAGCCTCCTTTCGCACCTGCACCTCCAAGGTACTGTGTTCTGGTTTCTCCCCATCTACACAGAATGTTTGCTTTTTCCTACCAAATGGGGAAATTAGTTTCATTTAGTACTTTCATAGCATCTTCATGGGAGGAGACGGAAGATCACAGGTAAAAGAAAGGACCTGTTTAATATTGTGGAAGCTTAAGTCAGCCCTAGAGAGGTTGTTTATAAAAGAGAAAGAGTCCCTGTGTCCACCTGAATCTTTAGTTGGCTTTGTATGTTTAAAATTTGAGCCTTTAAAATGAGCTTTAATCACTTCCATCAGTATTATGTAACCAGCATTTGAGAAGTTATATTGAAGAGCCCAGTGTTTTTATGAAAGGGAGAGGTTTACTATGTCTTCAAAACTAAAGCCGAATTATTTCTAGAAGTTGTTTTCCATAGTCCCTGTCTTTGCAGTTGTGTTGATTTTCCAATTGCTTTAGGTGCTTTTTAAAAATGAACTGCAGTACATTTTAGTGTGAGAAAATGGCACCCTTTTCACTTAGTAAACAGCTAACCATGTTTTAGAAATGTAATGCTTTCATTGCTGAAAATGGAAATTTTCTGAACTACCTTTATTTACCATCTCCTTTGGCACTGAATTTTATGATTTAATATGCCAGTATCTGTCCATGGACAGAGCGTTCAACTACCCTGGAGCTGTGTTAGTCCCTTGAGAGGTGGTCATCCATTTTGAGACACGCTCACTGCTGAAAACCTCTCATCCAGCTGAGTTTCCTGTTAATGTGGGGAAATTTCACTTAATTATGTGAGATATTAAGGATTCGTAAACTCTGCTTATTTATAGCTCATTTTGTTCAGTCATTTCTCATGGCTTGTAACAACTTAGAAAATAAGACAAAGTAACCTAACTTTGTCATAGGAGTGGAGGAGGGGGAAAAAAGAGGGGAAAAAAAAAATCCCTGCAAAGTGGAGGATACATTAGAGGCAGGAAAAATATTGAAAGTGTATCTCTTGCTGAGAGTAGATTTACAACTACAATTGTAGTTATTAACTGCTTTGGCTAATTCCATCTGGGGCAAGGCTTTAAGATATACTTTGCCATTCTTTGTATGTCCAGCAGCGTGATCACTATGTTTTCTCAGAGGCCTCGAGTTTTTGCCTTGTTCTGAAAACTTAACACTTGTTATTCTCTCTGATATTCAGCTGATATTTGGGGATGATCCTAGACCTCTCACAAAGAAGGCCCATTTTATCATCTCCCCAAGAAGTTCGAGTGGGTTATCACTTTCCAAAGGAACCCTATTTGTATTCAGCAGCCTCTGGCTACTCTGCAGTTCTCATATCGAGAATGCAGGGACACTTCAATGGATTGGCTGTTCTTTTATAAGTCAACTTCTTTGGGTTTTATATTGCAGGCCTCAGCAAACTTGAAAGGTCAGAAAGTCAAGGCTTTAGGCTTTGTTGGCCATAAAGCCTATGCTGCAGCTCCTCAGCTCTGCTCTTGCAGTACGGAAGCAGGCCCAGACGATGCAGAAAATAAGGGGTGTGGATGTATTGCAATAAAACTTTATTTAGAAAAGCAGGCAGCCAGCTCGGGCCATGGTTTGTCAACACCTAATCTGGAGCGGCTGGCATCTTGGCAGTTTACATAGCTCGCAGTGTTCTTCAGAAAAATCCCCCAGGCTTTTGAGGCAGTTATCTGGTGAGCTGTTTCAAGGGTTTTCACTGATTTTTGAGCCACCACGGATAGGCCTTGCTGTCAATTGGATATCATGGTCATGCCTTGTAGTACTGCAAGGTAATCTTTTTTCTTTTTTTTTAACTTTTTACTTTGTATTGGGGTATAACTGATTAACAGCTGTGATAGTTTCAGGTGGACAACCGAGGGACTCAGCCATACATGTATGTGTATCCATTCTCCCCCAAACTCTGCTCCCATCCAGGTTGCCACATAACATTGAGCAGATTTCCATGTGCTACACAGTAGGTCTTTTTTGGTTACCCCCCCTCCCCCCTTTTTTTTTTGGATAGAGCATTAGCTTTTGTTAAGCCTTCCCTGATAGCTCACTCTGGGTCGGGAAGATCCACTGGAGAAGGGATAGGCTACCCACTCCAGTAATCTTGGACTTCCCTTGTAGCTCCGCTGGTAAAGAATCTGCCGGCAATGCAGGAGACCTGGGTTTGATCCCTGGGTTGGAAAGATCCCCTGGAGAAGGGAAAGGCTATCCACTCCAGTATTCTGGCCTGGAGAATTCCATGGACTCTAGAAGTCCATGGGGTCGTAGAGTCGGACACGACTGAGCGACTTTCACTTAGTTTTTATTATGTTGGGTGTTTTTTTTTTTTTTTTTTTTTTAGCTTTTAAAAAATTTAAAAAACTTTTTATGTCGTATTGGGATATAGCCAATGTGACGGTTTCAGGTGGACGGCACAGGGACCCAGCCCTGCATACACCTGTATCCATTCTCGCCCAGACTCCTCCGCCATCCAGGCTGCCTCCTGACACTGAGCATTGTTCCGTGCGCTACACAGGAGGACCTGCATGGTTCTCTTGTTCTTTCGAGTAGCAGAAGAGCGGGCAAAGAGCGGAGTGAGTAAAGAGGGAAGGAATCCGCCTCCCCTGGGTCTCTGACTGCCTCTGTCGCTTCCCCGCAGCGCTCCGCCGGCGCTGCCAGCAGCCGCGGCCTCAGCACATTCCAGCAGCGCCGAGTCGGAGAGCACCAGCGATTCCGACAGCTCCTCGGACTCGGAGAGCGAGAGCAGCTCCAGTGACAGCGAGGAGAACGAGCCCCGAGAAGCCCCGGCTCCCGAGGTACCGGGGCGCCGTCGGCCTCGGGGCTGGAAGCCCGGGTGCCGCCCCGTCCCATCCCCCGGGGCGGCGCTTCCCTGCTTCGCGCAGTCGGCTGTTTGTTTACTTGCTCACCAGGCATCTGGTGGTGGAGTCTGGGGGGCGAGGTCTTCTCCCTCCCGTTGAAAAGGATGGGTCCTTCCGTGTGGCTGCCAGAGCCGTTCTGAAAAGAAACTCATTGAGAACATGTACACCCCCTTTTCTTTTCCCTTCTTTTGAGAACCGAAGACTCTGTTTTCAGTAGGCAGCTATTTTCATATTAGTGAGAAAGCGTTTTGAAATTTCAGGAATGCATGAATTCAATCAAAAGGAGACAGCCTGTTTTAGCAAAGGGCAGGAACAGTGAACTAGAAAGAAGCCATCAGAGGTTCTATTTTTGAATCACTAAAAGCCTGTGCATTAAATGGATGGCAAAGTAGTTTTGCCAGAGCCGTCTTTCTTGATCCCTCTGCCCCAAGTTGCCTATCCACCACCCTCCGGAGGTATTGTAAAGATAAACAGAGGAGACTGAAAATCTCAGGCACTAAATTTATCTGGAGGATATATGCTATTTACTGGAGTGCTGAGTACAAGAAATGGAGTAACAGTAACAGTAAGAGTTGCCCAGTCTTCTAAACTTGGTGGAGCAGTGAAAAATGTTTGCACGGGAAGGCATTGTTAGAGACCCAGACCCACTTGTATAGAGAAAAGTATTCTGTGTATTTCAAGTAGGAATCCCAGGAAATGAGACTTCCTGATTAAACAAGTGTTGAAGTTTTCAGTATTTGTCTCTGCTGTTAAGAAAACAAGGCCACTGCATTAGTGCATTAACTAAATACATCTGGAGATGGTGTCCTGGCTGAAGCTCTGTCTGAGGGCAAGGGAGGATGAGGAAGTAACCGAGTATCATTTTGTTGTTGTTGTTAGATACCAGTTTATGTCTGGCATAGCGTTAAGTGCTCAGTAAATATTTTTGGAGTGAATAAACATAGATCAGCATTTTTGCACTTGAAGTGCCTTTCAGATTTTAGAAGCTACTCTGTATTTCTGGGGGCTGGTCTCTCCCGAGGCACAAGTTGCTGTTGAAGTAATTTTCCTATGCCCCAGGGGAAAAATTACTGAATATTCTCTACAGAGAAACTATGTGCTTGTTCAGGTTACTGTTCATAAGGTCTTTGCTTTAGATCTCACCTTAATCACGAAGGAAAATCTACATGCTTGTTTGGTTACTATAAGCGAGAGAATCCAATTAAATCATAAAATTCGATCAAAATAAAATGGAAATGGCACAGATTTGACTGAATAATTGAAACTCGTAAGGAAAATTTAATCAGGCATTTGTATTAATGAAACATTGGGTTGGCCTAAAAGTTTGGTTGGGTTTTTCTGTACCACCTGATGGAAAAATCTGAACAAACTTTCTGGCCAACTCAATGGTTGTATCTTACTGCTCAAGAGGTTATTGAATAGAATAGATTTAGAGACTCTTTGATGGAAAATGATGTTCCCATTCTACTTTACTTTTTTAAAAATCACTTTTCTAAATAGGTTCATATTTTACATTTCTGTTACTGTGCAAACTTAGACTTCAGTATGGTTTTGTTGGTTACATACCAAGGCTTGGCTTCCTCAGACCTGTTTTTGTCTTTGTCTAGGTTTTAAACCTTTAATTTTCCCCAAAGTTATTTAACAACCTTTCTTTCCTTTTAAAATAAATACCTGCATTATTGTAAAACTGAGTTAAAAAAAAAAAAAAACTGAGTTAGTCGAGCACTACATGAATTCCATAATAGCCTGTAGTTACTAGTTTTAACTTTTTCACTCTATGTTTTATTTTTAATGCTGAGAAGTTCACTTCTTAAAAGTCTATTTAAAATTCATTTGACGAAGTCATCCAGTGATCTTACGAGATAGGAAATGTTATATGTGTGCCAACAGGCTGGTGGTGAACTTGGGGGAAAGCCACTTTGAGTCTCAGCTTTATAGTGAGTCAGCATGTAAACCTCAGCTTTTCAGAATATATGGGACGCATCAACCTTTCACTGCTTAAGTACAGTTCAGGGAAAAATGACTCCTATTGTCAGTTATTCAAGCATCTGCTTAGTTTTCTAATCTAATTCTTTCTAATCCAGTGCTTTGGTAGTAAACTACCATGGTTGATTATCTGCTAAGCTCTTGATACTTTCTTCATAAATTATGTGATATAACCATGAATCCTAGAAGGTTGGGAGTTTTCTTTTCACCTGTAAGGAAGTATTAGCACTAAGATTGAAACCCATAGCCATTTAACCAGGAAGCCTTTTATTCTTACAACACCATGGCTCTTCTCTCTGTTGTGTTTTTTTTTTTCTTCTAAGTCTTGGAGTTGTACTCCCTCACAACAACTATGTTGGTTTACAAAAACAGTGGATGTATGTTGTGCATAGCTCAGAGCTTTTCTTTCAGAATAATTCATCCTAAAATAAATGAAATTTGCATCTTGAGAAGTGAGAAGTAAAGAGACATACAGCCAGACATTTATTAAAAGGCTCATATGTTTTTGCACCTCCTCTGTGCAGTGTTTGGGTTGATCCCGCCTTAGGAGATTGGGGGTGGGGCATGAAGAAAGGGTGAGGAAAATCAAAAGTCTAAACCTGGATCCTATCTAGTTTTCATCAGTCCCTTATGTAAAACTTCCCCCCATCTCAGCACTCAAATAATACCTAGCCTTAAAGGAATTCTGTCCATTTTACGTGGTCATAGTAAGTACAAAAAGGATCACCCCACCCCTTCCCCTTGTCTGGACATACTCAGTTCTGCCCTGCAATTGGGCCATAGGCCTCCCTTCTGGCCATTTTTAGGACCACAGTGGAAGAAAATGTTTTATTTCTGTATCCAGGACATTCCTTTAGGGACTACTAAATGTATCAAAGCCCTGTTTGGGGTTGGGGGAGGGGAGCAGCTGTTATTTATACCAGGGATGACCTTCCCTTTTGGTTCATGTATAAATGCTCCTCTAGAGAGCAAGAGCGTCCCTTGCTGTGGTGGGCTTCTCAGCATAGCCCTGGCGAGGGTTCCCTGTACCTTTCCTGAGAGCGTTTGAAGGGTTTGGCTCCTTCCCAGTGGCTTAGAACTACCACCCCCTCAAGTCTTTGCAAGAAATAGCGTCTGACAAGTAGAGCTGGGTGTGAATCTTTTCTGTACCCTAAACAACCGTCCTGTCTTGTTAGAATATTGAGTGCAGTTTTAAATCATGTGGGACTTGGTTAGGGTAGCTTTTCCTTCTTCCCTCCCTCCCTGCTCTGAAATTCACACGAGAGCATGGGGGATAGAGTTGGTATAAGTGGAGGGAGACACCAAGAAGATACATGGTCTTAAGCAGGAAAACAGCAACAAAATTCTGTAGCCCTCTTTCCTTAGAGTTCCTCTAAGATCTCTTTTACTACCATTATACTAAGCCCAAACTAGCTACTGGACCAGTATTACCTAAAATTTTTTCCTGGCCCCAAAGCCTTTACATTATATCTACATTTCTTAGACATGTTGTGTGTGTGTGTGTGTGTGTGTGTTTTGAGTTGAATCGTTTGGGATATCCCACTTGGAAAAATTGTTAGCAGCAGTCTTCCCTATAAAATATCATCTACTTATTGGAGTGATCGGCCTTATCCATAATCTAATCAGTTAAATCCCACGAGAGGATACCCTTTCAGTTAACTTCCTGGAGTGTTGTGGAAATAATTTAGTCATTCATACAAACCACCTGTCAGAATGGATCTTAAGAAAAACATGCAGCATGCCACTGATACACTGCCCTTTAAAAAGAAAGTAATTGTTACTCTGTTAACACATGAATATTTCCCCAAAGAATGTAAAATTTACAGGTACAGTAATATACCAGTGTCCATGGAATTCTCCAGGCAAGAATACTGGAGTGGGTTGCCATTCCCTCCTCCAGGGGATCTTCCCAACCTAGGGATCGAACCCAGGTCTCCCGCATTGCAGGCAGATTCTTTACCATTCGAGCTACCCAGGAAGCCCCAAGATACCAGTAGAAGTGCCGAAATAAATATCTCACGTACACCATTGTGTGCAAGACATAAAAGTAGAATTTGGAGATGAAGTCGTCCTTATCATTCCTTTAATGAGATCTAATAGCCCAGTTGGGGAGAGAGAGAATGTGATGCACCAATAGTCAGCAGCAAAGATTTCAACACGATATCTGCTGTTAGGATAACAGGAGAAGCCCGGGACTTTTGTTTATTCTCCTAGTGAGTTGCACAGTATAATCTCACTCTCTCAGTTGTGTGCTCGGGGGCCTCCCTGTGTTTCTTAGAAAAACAGGTGCTGTTCAAACCAGACTACCTGTAACAAGAGGCTTGTGTTTGATTTTTAAAGAATTCGGGGGGTGGGGCGAGCTCGTGGTTGACTCATGTGACCTCACTTAGTTCTTTTTACCCGGAAGTAAAATTTGAAATTCAGAAGACAGTATATCTGTGATAAACTATCATGTATTAGTGTTTTTAAGTACATTGAGAAATCAAGTCTTGAAGAAAGTCATTTTCGATTGATGACTATGTAAAAAAAAAAGAGATAAACCACGAAACCCATCCATAACCACTAAGACTTAGTTTACTCATTGACCTTCTTCTGAAAATCCTTGATAAAAGGGTTCTCTTTACTCTTCATTCTTTCCTATCATTTCCTGATAGGATACTTAACAAGTCAAAATGAAAATTCTGTTTAAATTATACTGTAATTATCAGTGAAGCAAAATCTTTATTATGCAGATTTCTCAGCAGTTGACAGTGGTCAGCACCGGTCAGTATCTAATGGTCTATTATTAGTCAGTGTCTGCTACAGCTGGAATTCCTGCAGCATGAACAATGGGAAGATCGTTTTAAGAGTTAATTGTTATAGGATTTATTTAATCTGTAATTAGAGGGGGATCAAAAGGGCCTGAATTCTTAGGTTTGGAGTGGCTGCATCTCCCCGGGACAGTCCAGTAGCGCTGGGTGACTAACCCAGGGGAGAAGTATGTTACTGTTCAGCTAACCCTGTCTTCTTTTTCCTTGTTTGTAGCCCGAGCCTCCGACAACCAACAAATGGCAGCTGGACAACTGGCTGACCAAAGTCAGCCAGCCCGCGGTGCCCACGGAGGCCCCGGGTAGCACGGAGCCCCCGGCCCGACACCCGGACACTAAGGGCAAGGGCGGCGACAGCGCCACCGCGGGCCACGAGCGCCCAGAGTCCAAAGAGCCTCCCCCCAAAGGCTCCAGCAAAGCCCCCCGGGTCCCTTCCGAAGGCCCCCACGTGGGCAAGAGGAGCTGTCAGAAGTCCCCTGCCCAGCAGGAGCCCCCCCAGAGGCAAACTGTGGGAAGTAAACAGCCCAAAAAGCCCATCAAGGCTTCCGCCCCCGGCCACGCGGATGCGCCTGCGGAAGCGCGCGCCTGCCTGCAGGTGGAGAGCGAGCCCGGACTTCCTGCCCCGGCCTCCAAGGACCAGCCCTCCAAAGACAAGCCCAAGGTGAAGACGAAAGGGCGGCCCCGCACCGCAGACAGCCGGGATCCCAAGCCGACGGTGCCCGCTCCCAGCGACCGGAAGAAGCACCGCAGCGGCCCCCCGAAGGTGCCCCCGAAGGACGCGGCGGCAGAGGACCGGAGCCCCGAGCACTTTGCGCTCGTTCCCTTGACCCAGAGCCAGGGCCCTGTCCGCGGTGGCGGCAGCGGCGCTGGCGCCAGGACTAGTGGCTGCAGGCTGGCCGTGGTGGTCCAGGAGGACCGCCGCAAGGACAAACCCCCGGTGCCTTCGAGAGACACCAAGCTGCTCTCCCCGCTCAGGGACGCTCTGCCGCCGCAAAGCTTGGTGGTGAAGATCACGCTCGACCTCCTGTCTCGGATACCCCAGCCCCCAGGGAAGGGCAGCCGCCCGAAGAAACCGGAAGACAAACAGCCACCAGCAGGGAAGAAGCCAGATCCTGAGAAGAGAAGCTCGGAAAACGCCAGCAAGTTGGCCAAAAAGAGAAAGGTGAGTGTGCGAGACCAGCCCTCCCCTCCAGCGTGGACCACTCCAGGGGTCACTCCGGGGGCCACTCCAGCGTGCACTCCGGGGGCCACTCCAGGGGCCACTCCAGCGTGCACTCCAGGGGCCACTCCGGGGGCCACTCCGGGGACCACTCCAGGGGCCACTCCGGGGGCCACTCCAGGGACCACTCCAGCGTGCACTCCGGGGACCACTCCAGGGACCACTCCAGGGGCCACTCCAGGGGCCACTCCGGGGGCCACTCCAGGGACCACTCCGGGGGCCACTCCAGGGGCCACTCCAGCGTGCACTCCAGGGGCCACTCCGGGGACCACTCCAGGGGCCACTCCAGCGTGCACTCCAGGGGCTGTGCTTGGCGCTAGATTGTCTTTAGAAGTTTATGTTCACATAACCCTGAACTGTCTTAGAAGAGGCTGGAAATCTTTGGATTCCTTGTTGCTTTTGTGACTAGTACCAGTTAGTGTTTCACTGTAGATGAGTGTTAATAAATGTCAGATTACTTCAACAGGCTTCTAGTTTGAAATAAAGATGAGGCAGTCATTGAGAAGGACATACTGCTTTAGAATAATATAGCGTTAAGGGTATGTGTTTTATCTGTCTGGACAACATTGGTGTTTACCACCTGACCCACTAGTTTTATTATTTTTATTTATGTTTTTGGGGCTGTGCTGGGTCTTTGTTGCTGCATGGGCTTTTCTCTAGCTACGGAGAGCGGGGTTCTCCTCTCTAGTTGTGGTGTGGGGGCTTCTCACTGTGGTGGCCTCTTATCGCAGAGCATGAGCAGGAGGTGCTCTGGCTCAGTAATCGCAGGTCCCAGGCTCTAAAGCACTGGCTCAGTAGTTGTGACGCATGGGCCCAGCCGCTCCGTGCCACATGGAATCTTCCCAGAGCAGGGATCAAACCTGTCTTCCTTGGTATTGACAGGCCGCTTCTTATCCTCCGTACCGCCAGGGGGGCGCTGGCCCATTAGGCTTTCCTCTAGAAATTAAAACCTTATATGAAATGAATCGATGTGCTGACAGAAGTGATGAACACTAAATTTTACCTCTGTGGTTTGATCTTTTTAATACTGATATTACGTCCATATTTTAACTCATGGCAATTCAATACCTCATTAATTTGAAACCACCATATTTGAGAATTTATGACCTCTGTTAATGACTTTTAATAATAAGAGCATTGTGGAAAAAAGTTTTAGGGCTATTACAGAGATGGTTAGGGCATCTTTTTGAGTAATATAGGCTCTTATGGTGTATTGTGAAGTAGTCTGTCTTTTAGCAGTGTTTGGAAGCTTCACTTAAGGAATAAACATAATAAAAGAAACAGTAACCTCTGCGTTATTTAAGACCCTCTTTACTTGGACATACGGTATTTTGAACAGTGTCCTTTCAACCTTTATTCTGAATTACTGAGCTCTCGATGTATTTTTTCACTGCTTCTGGGTGATGAGAGATTAGTGAATTCCCCTCTGCCCCAGTGACATTCCCAAACCAACCTACCCAAGATTCAGAATGAAAGGCACAAGAAGGGCCAACTCTTTCCTGCCGAGAAGGAATAAAAAGTTTAACACTCCTGCAGATACATAAAAAACTTCTCAGTTACGGAAGTTGAACTAAGAATAACAAGGACAGAAAGATCATGAAGCCTGCTGTCATGTCTGATTTGACTGATTACTCCATGAGGTTAAAAATATAACATGACTTTACCAAATAGTAAAGGGGCCAGTTTCTCCAGCACCTTGTGCAATGAGCCGTGAGGGTGTGTATTACTACCGTAATTGCAGCGGGTGAGCCCAATGGGGATGGGATCAAATGTGCTAACTGGCAGGGCTGTTTCAGCTAGAAGCAGACATTTTCACGTGCCTGGTAGTTTTTTTTTTTTCCCCTTCATTTTGGCTGTGCTGGGTCTTTGCTGTGGCGGAGGGGATTTCTTTATGGTTGTGGCTTAGTTGCCCCAAGGATCTTGGTTCCTTGACCAGGGATCCAACCCATATCTCCTGCATCAGAAGGCATATTCTTAACCACTGGTCCACCAGGGAAGTCCCCTGATAACTTACAAAACAATGTGTGTATGTAAGAGGTGTGAAACTTCATGGAGAAAATGGTGATAGACCAGGCTAGGGAAATGGTGCCTACATATAACATGCCCGAGAAAGCCTCAAAAATGCACTCTTTTACTTCCTCCTGGGAAGTCTTTTATCACCTGTCTCCCAGCTACCATAACCTTGGGTTGGCCAAAGAGGTCATTCAGTTTTTTTCCATTACACCTTATGGAAAAACCCAAACGAACTTTTTGGCCAGCCCCAGTGTTATCTAGTCTCCATGGCTGACCTTCTGCCTCAATTCAAGTGGGGAGAAGTATTAGCTTCTAAAGCGCTTACTAACCAGGTGGAAACTGGAGTCTCCCTGGACGGCTGTCAGCTCAGTCCACCCTCCAGCGCAAGTCTAGAAGCTCTGCCTGCAGCTCCTCCAAAGGAAGAGGTCCCTGTGGAGTCTCTGAACTGTGTCCTCTGAAAGCCATTTGCAGCTCTTGGCTGAGCTCTGCTGGGGCAGCTCATTCATCTTCCTGTTCAAAGAATGGAGAAGTAATGACCCCCTCAGCTTAGGCAAGTACGTGCTTGCTTTAAAGCTCTGGCAAACAGCTGAGCAATCTGGCCTTGGGAGCAGCCTGCCTGTTTGCTGTGGGAGTGACAGGATCAGGATCTGAACCAGTGAGTCCAAACCCTGGCTGCATGTCCCCATCTACTGGGAAGCCCTGAGTCCTGGTGGAAGGATGAACATCACCCTGCACACTCCCCATTGGTGGTTTTCTTTTTTCCTTTTTGCTTTACTATTCTCCACCCCCCCCCTTTTTTAAATTTATTTTTAATTAGAGGATAAGCTTTACAATGTTGGGTTGGTTTCAGCCAAAGTATACATATGGCCCCTCCCTCTTAAACATTCCTCCCATTCCCCTCATATCTTCTAACTCCTCAGATTGGTGGTGGTGGTTTAATCACCAAGTCGTGTCCAACTCTTGTGACCCCATGGACTGTAGCCCACCAGACTCCTCCATCCATGGGATTCTTCAGGCAACAGTACTGGAGTGAGTTGCCATTTCCTTCTCCAGGGCATCTTCCCGACCCAGGAATCAAACCTGGGTCACCTGCACTGTAGGCAGATTATTCCTCAGATTACCTAATGCCTAAGGCTCTGGAGCAGAAGCTTGTTACCAGGGCAGGATTGTACAGAGCTAGTGGTTGTGAATTGAGAAATCTCTCCAGTGTGGTATGTTTAAATATCATGGATCTAGGAATTTCTGGTCTGAAGTATGTCACTAGTTACAAACATTACTTAGGAGCCTTTAGACAAGTATAAACAGCAGCCGACTGCGTAGTTACTTCGTGATCAGAGAACCGTGTGTCATTGGTTTTACTCCCTGCTGGATTCCAGCTGGTGTTAAGACTGAACATCGTACCCTCAGGCTCTCTCTGTGAGGGTCAGGCTCCCCCTTTCTTGTCAAGACCCTGACTCTGCTTGCTCAGGGCACCGTGGCTGCCACCCTTTGAGTGGGGCTGCTCCATGGGCAGCCCAGGTCTCTCTCTATCTTTTAAATTTAGTTTATTTGGCTGCGCTAGGTCTTAAGTTTCAGTATGTGGAATCTTTAGTTTCAGCATGTGGGGTCTAGTTTCCCAACCAGGGATTGAACCCCGGGCCCTTTGCATTGGAAGTACAGACCACTAGACCATCAGGAAAGTCCCACCCACATCTCTTTTTAAGCTTGGGTGCTTTCTTCCGTATTTGGATAGTGTTCATGGTCTTTATATCGAGTGTGAACATAGAAAAAGCTCCATGAAGAAGTAGTGAGAGCAATTGAATAATGTACCTGCTACTTCCCATCCCTTTCTTGCCGTGAAATTTATTAAGTATTTTCAGATTGTTAACAGATTCTTGAGGGGGCTTTCCCAGTGGCTCAGCAGTAGAGAATCTGCTGCCTGCAATGCAAGAGATGCGTGCAGGAGATGTGGGTTTGATCCCTGGTTTGGAGAGATCCCTTGGAGAAGGAAATCTCAGCCCACTCCAGTATTCTTGCCTGGAGAATCCCATGGATAGAGGAACATGGCAGGCTACAGTCCACAGGGTCACAGAGTCGGACACACACACACACACATGCACAACAGATCCTTGAAGCCATTTTAGACTCAAAAGTGTGAGAAGATGATTGTAAGGAGTTAATGGTGGTTAACAGCTGTGATGAACCCATCGAATGTGGTACCTGTAGAAGTGTACCTGCATTCTTTTCTTCTTCTACTTTAAAGGAGTGGTTCGGGGACAATTCATGAGAAAAAGTAGAGAAAATCATGAGGGTAAATGGGCATGAACTTACATGGTCCTTACATAAACTACAGAATTTCTTCTACCTGATTACAGTTTAGAATTTAAACTAGAACTTATATTTTCTTTTATGTAATTTTTAAGCTTCCTGTTTTCCAGACTTGGAAGAGAAGTTGAAGTTTAGAGGCACAACACAGTATATAATCAAGGCAGTACAAAGGAAAGGATTTTAAAAGCGCACCAAACATTCAGAGAGCTAAGCCTTGCTCTAGGCACTTTTTGTAGATGTTGTTGTTCAGTTACAAGTGTGACTCTGTCCTTCATTACTTCTCATAGGTAATCTCATTTAATTCAGTCACCTTACGGACGTCTTTCAAATAAAACTCTAGACTGTCTCAGCAGTCTCGTTTAGGCAAATACCAAAACAGGGAGGTTACGTTCGTTCAAGTCTTTCCCTTTTTCTAAATGATTGCTTTACTGACCAAGAAGGTTGGATGCTTTTAGAAGCACATTGGAAGCAGTGCATGGTTTATATGTGTTTTGAGGAAGGGGGAGGGAAATTATGGGATCTGGTGGGAAAATGTGCATTTTTATTGCTTGATGGTTGGTTTAGACCTTCCCTTCTGTCCAAGATCTGCCTGTTTTCTCTTGGGTTGTTTCTCCAGATAGACATTCCTGGTTATTATCCTTCAAAATCAAGGGTTTGAAGTCATCCCTATAATTTCCTAAAACCACTTACATCTAATTTCTTCATGCCTGTTAGTTACCCGAAAAACATCACATGGAGAGCTGTATTAGGGCCAGTCTAATGCCTGTGCTTCCCTGATGAGAAAGAAGGGGAAAAGTGGGTACATCTTGCTCTTCTGTGGTACTTAGCCCAGTGAACATAACCCGCCTTCTCAGTCAGTCTCCACCCTCATTCTTGGGGCCAGCTTGGACTTGTCTGCCTTGTTGTCTCACTGAGTCCCCTGCAGAGGCAGATCTTGGCAAAGGACCTGAACTTCCCCGAAGGCTGCTTCTCCACTTTTGCTCTGCTCCATGTGCTACAAAGTCGATTTGCTTCCCCGTGGGGGAGGGTGATAGAGTTTAGGATTGGAGCACCGAGACCTCATGCGTCTCTTGTGCAGCCATCGCATCTTGTTCACTGATGGGACCCAGAAAGGCTTGAGGGCTTCCCCCTGATGGCTTGGTGGTACAGAATCCACCTGCAAAGTAGGAGATGCGAGTTCCATTCCTGGGTTGGGAAGATACCCTGGAGGAGGAAATGGCAACCCACTCTAGTACTCTTGCCTGGGAGATCCCATGGACGGAGGAGCCTTCACAGTCGGACACAACTTAGCGACAACAAACTCCCCTTTTTCTTGCAATACCTGGCTGGTGAGTTGAGTGCCCTGGAGGCCTCCTCTTCAGAAACCGGCTCAGCGGAGCACAACCCCAGCGCTTCCTTTTATGGTCATCACTCTCGTCCTTTGGCTCCACTCTTCAGGTAGGGCAGCCTCTGGCAGGTAATCTGAGGCTTCCTGAGCCACCAGGTTAGGAAAAGTCAACAAGTCAGTCACGAGGAGCTTCCTCCTAGTGGAGATGTGGGCACCATAGAAACATTGTTTTTCTGGAAAAAGGGAACTTCCAAGACCCAGACCTGAGACTTGATCTGTGGATAAGCCCCTGGGCAGAGGAGACTCTTTTTTTACCTCCTGAAAAAAGCATCATGTTTACCTCTCTTTCACATGGTCTCTTGACCCAGAAACCTCTCGGGAACTCCTCACCTTTTTCTGCTTTCCAGTCTTGGATCAAGTCTGCATTCTCTTACCCCCCTGGATGGGACAACTCCCTCTCCAGTGGCCCTTTGCCTAATCCTAGATCCACTTCTAGAGGTAGTGCAGGCTGGCTTCCGTGCCAGCGGAGAAAGTTCACAGAGTGCCTGCTCCAGGGACGCCTCCAGGACTGTTTCTGCAGAGGACGCGGGGTTCCAAGTGTGAAAATAACCAACCCAGGCTCATGGGAGTGTACTCCGTCAAAGCAGACACAGTCAGCAGAAGGGAATTTTGCTTAATTGGTATAATGGCTTACTGGTTTCCCTGGTGGCTTAGATGGTAAAGAATCTGCCTGCAATGCAGCAGACCCAGGTTCAATCCCTGAGTCGGAACGATCCCCTGGAGGAGGGAATGGCCACCCACTGCAGTATTCTTGCCTGGAGAACCCCATGGATGGAGGAACCTAGCAGGCTACAGTCCATGGGGTCACAAAGAGTTGGACATGACTGAGCGCCTAATACTTTCTACCAGCCGACAGAATATTACCGGCTTCTAAGTTGTTGCATGTCAGTATAAAGCACATTATTCCAGTAAGTGCCAGCACAGTTGCTAAAACTAACGTCAAAGTTGATCCTTGGTTCTGGGCTGTTCTTTTGAGTCACCAGTTGGCACAAGCCGGAGTTAAACCAGTTTGTGAGGATTGACTCACTAGGAATCATGTTTTCATGTGTGGTTTGTAAGGCCTGCCACTTTGGTTTCTAGTCGTAACTAGCACGTCTTAAGCAGCATGAAGGTATACAAACAAAAATTAACTCTTCTGGCTCTGGAGTTTGCCGTTTCCTTTAGAAAGTAACCTTGTGGACCATTTATACTTAACTTTATCTTCAGGACTTATCCTTTGTGTTGTTAACTGCCTGGAGATGCCTTCTATTTAAAACAGTGTGAGGACTTCCCTTGTAGTGCAGTGGGCTGAGAACCCACCGGCTGGTGCCGGGGACATGGGTTTAATCGCTGGTCCAGGAAGATCCCATATTCCTGCCGGGCAAGTAAGCTTGTGCACCACAGCTGCTGACCCCACGCTGTAGGGCCCGTGAGCTGCAACTTCTAAAGCCCAAGTGCCTTGGAGCCTGTGCTCTGCAAGATGAGAAGCTTCTGCAATGAGAAGCCCACTCCCTGCAATGAAGAGTGGCTCTTCACTTGCCACAACTAGAGAAAGCCTGAGTGGCAATGAAGTCCCAGCACAGTTAAAAATATAATTTTTTTTTTTTTTAAAGTATGATTGGAAGTCTGCTCTTCCACTATAGGGGATGAGGATTCAATCCTTGGCCAGGGAACTAAGATGCTACATGCTATGCACTGTGGCTGGGAAAACAACAAAACAACTCTATAAAAAAAGTGAAGTGAAAGTCGCTCAGTTATGTCCGACTCTTTGAGACCCCATAGACTATACAATCCATGTCTCTCCCACTGCAGGTGGATTCTTTACCAGCTGAGCCACAGTGTATTAATAATTAACTTCGTGTGCAAGTTCCCTGGTGGCTTAGATGGTAAAGCATCTGCCTACAATGTGGGAGCCCTGGGTTCAATCCCTGGGTGGGGAAGATCTCCTGGAGAAGGAAATGGCAACCCACTCCAGTATTCTTGCCTGGAAAATCCCATGGACGGAGGAACGTGGTAGGCTATAGTCCTTGGGGTCGCAAAGAGTTGGGCATGACTGAGCGACTTCACTTTCACTTTCGTGTGCAAGTTAATCATCTGTCTGGATATGTTAGCACATTCTGTGACCTTTCCCAAAGATAAATTTCCCACCTCTTGCAGTGTTTGCTGGGCCAGCTGTGTGGCCTTTAATCTGAAACTCAAGAGAAATTCCCGGGGAGCCGTTGGTAGCAGAGCCTCTTGGGCACACTGAGTGCAGTGATGAGGTGCCCACCAGGAGTACAGTTCTGTTCTAACCGGTCATTTCCGGCTTATTCTGTTTCTCTGCCAACATCGAGTGCCTCAAAGTGTTCCCATTGTGAATTGTTGAATGCAGGGTGAGTTACATGCTGAGCCCCAGCAGGCCCCCCGGCCACTGCAGGGTCCCTCTCTCATCTCTCCTGACCTGTGCCTGGGCCTGTGCTGCCCACCTGCGCTGCCCACCACATGAGAAGCAAACAGCCGTGGGAAATCACTTGTGATTCAGTTGTGCCCGTGGGATGTGCTTATTCTCATTACGTGTTCGCTCCTTGCTAGGTCCTTCAAGATCCTTTTGTCCCCCAGTCTTTCATCACGAGCAGCTGATTTGTTTTTCGTTTATTTAACTGTACATCAAGTAGTTCTTCATTTGCATCAGCTCATAGGAAATTCAAGGTCCATTTTTCACGTCACATCTAGAAAAGTGTAAAAATAGATCTGTCCAGTAACAATATCATGTGATCTAATTTTACATTTTCATAATTTGACATTCTCTGGTAGCCACGTTAAAAATATTAAAGGGGAAAAAAAACCCAGTGAAAACAATTTAAATAGTTTAATCCAGTGTATCTAAAATATTGGCACTTCAGCTTTTCATCAGTAGGAAAGTGATTACATTCTCCGTTTTTGCACAAAGTCCTTGACTTCAGTTGTCGCTCTAGACTCGCCTGTCTGGCTCTGGGACGGAGTGTGAGACAGTGTGAGATTGTCTCCAGGGGCACAAGCCTTGGTTTGGAGTTTCTTTCCCCACCCATATTTTCCCCTCTAAGGTACACAAACCACCTTATCTTTTGAAACGAGATAAACGTTTTCAGCAGAGTTTGCGAAAGGCTGGATTGAGACACAAACCCAAGCACCTGTGCTTGGGGAATGCGAGGGTTGAAGGGGGGGTAGGGTAGTGTATGTCTCTGCTTTTCCCTTCTTTTTAGCAAGGCCAGGCTGCTTATTAGCAGAGCTTGAGCCCACACATCTTAATTTTATTCATTTTTCTTGGAGACATTCAGAGAACAAGGGAGAGACTGTGGTGAAAACCAGGGCCTCCTACAGTTGGATCATGTGAAAAATGTTTTTCCTGTTAAGGCTCGAAGAGAGGATTTCGATTTTTTAGGGGTTGGCTTAGATTGGTCCCAGATTTCTTTCCTGGTGAGCTGACAGTCGGAGGAGTTTAGGTCTGATGCACCTGAGCTGATTGAAGGACTCCCACTGATCACTTTATAGTCCTTGTTAGAAGCTAGTGACTCTTCGCTACAGGCCATCACGTGAGCTTAGGCCCGTGGGAGGAGCCCGCATATGGACCCTCTATAAATTGGATGTACATGTTGTCATGGAATAACACAACTGTTTCGCTTCCTGGGAAGAGAAAAACCTGGTTCTTTCCTTTTTTGGATATCCTTCTTTTCCTGAGTTTGAGGAATAGTCCTTCCTGATGCACAAGTCTGTCTCAGTATAAATCACATCACATCTATATGGCCTGCCGCCCGCCCTCTCCCAAAACACAGTGTGGATACTGAAAGGTTGCCATGTGTTTAGATGTTCCCACAAGTCTCATTGTTCTCATTGCCTTTGCTGTGTATTTTTTTCTCTATTTTGTCTGCACAGTTGTGTTTGTAACAGTTTAATGTTATACAATAATAGGGTGAAGCAGAAAAAGACCACGATAGCAAGAAAGTCAGGCTGGAGAAGGAAGTCAAGTCACAGTCGTCATCTTCCTCTTCCCACAAGGAATCTTCCAAATCAAAGTGAGTATAGAGGCTAGGAACAGTATGCAAAGGCGATCAAAGCTTCCTGGATCATGTGCCCTGACAAACATTTTCCTTCTGCAACAGAATGAGAGAATAGTCAACTCTTTGGAGTTCATTTTGACGATACGCTAAATTTGTTTTGTTTTCCTCCACGAGGACCTCAGAGGAGTGAACAGTTGGTTTGGCAGCAAACTCAGATTTATCAAAAGCACAGAAAGCTTTGGCAAAAGTGAGGGAGTCGTGTCACCATGTAAACCAACAGAGATTTGAGAGAGAGAGAAAGGGGAGGGGTCGGAGGTGAAGGGGGCAGCGAGAAGGTACAGGTTGTGCAGCTGCTGGCTGCAGACAGAGTTGTTGGGTAAAAGTTTAAGACTGCGGGCAGACTCTGCAAGCTTCGTGACAAGTTACGCAACCTCATTTATTACTCATAGGTAGGACTCGATTTTTCAAAGGTTTAAAAAAAAAAGGCTCTGAAATTTGGCCTTTCCACAAAAATGGATTTCATGCTCTGTGATATCTTAATCTTTCATGTCAACAGCTACTTTGTCCTTTTAAGCCAAACAACGAAGCTGTGTGGTTCGTGTTCTGCCTTAACTTCGTTTGCATCATGTTTCATTCCAGAATGTCCAGGCCCTCCTCTGAGCCCTCAAAGAAGGAAATGCTTCCCCCTTCACTCGTGTCATCCTCATCCTCATCCTCCCAGAAGCCAGCCAAACCTGCACAGAAGAGGCCAAGGCAGGAAGACCCCGGCGGCCAGGACCCCCCCAAAAGTGCCAGTAGTAACAAGGGCAGCCACAGAGACCCTTCCGCCTCCAAACACAGAAAAGCAGAGGGGAAGGTCTCAGGAAGCTCCACAGAACACAAAGTAAGGAGGGACGCAGTCATGTTGGAAAGGGGACATGTTGGTAGATCTTTAAATGCTCCAATAAGTCTTGACTGATGGTATTTCAGAGCTATTTCATCACTTTTATTTTATTTTTTTTATTTCATCACTTTTAATAAAGCCAGAATGCGTAATTTGTGCTTAAATCTTCACTTTGCAGAGGGAGAGTAAGAAGCAGTTCTATTACATGAACATTTAGGTGGCAGTTTATTCTTAAAATGGTTCAGACATGAAAATACAGAATAGATGCTTGGGTTAATTTTCTGTCAGAGTTTTGCAGTAAAACATGGTTAGTTCTTGGCTTGGATGTTTGATCTCAGATACTTTCATTATTAGTGATAATGGGGGGAAAAATTTGCTTTCTCAAATACAAATTCCTTTCTTCCTGTTAACCTGGAATGGGTAAGAGTGTGTGTGTGTGTGTGTGTGTTGCCTGAGAGTAAATGTTAAATTTGGTTTGCTGATAATCTGTTCTTTTGAATATTCTTGTCTTGTGACTTTTCTGTGTCCCCGATACAATAAAAATCTACAGTTTCAGTTGAATTTAGCTGAGAAAATGCTTGACTAAGCCAAAGTGTGCAGTGTTTGAGTTCTTCTCTTTTGAGCTCCTTTTGGGCTAATTTAGAGAAATAGTATTAGGTTGGTGCAAAAGTAATTGTGGTTTTGCATTGTTGAAATTTGCCGTTTGGTATTGAAATATATTCTTAAGTATGATGTGTTATACATTTATTTCAATGCGTATTTCTCACTTTGTGTTTTTTTGCTAGTGGCTTATTACTTGCTGTTTATTTTAGACTATGGAAATGATGTTAGACAAAAAGCAAATTTGAGTGATTTTCTTACTTGAGTTCAAAATGAGTTGTAAAACAGTGGCGACAACTTGCAACATCAACAACTCATTTGACCCAGGAACTGCTAATGAAGGTACAATGCAGTGGTGTTTCCAGAAATTTTGCAAAGGAGACAAGAACCTTGACGATAAGGGGCATAATGGCCGGCCATCAGAAGTTGACAGGGACCAATTGAGAGCAATCACTGAAGCTGGTCCACTTAACGAGAAGTTGCTGAAGAACTCAGCATCGACTGTTCTGTAGTTGTTTGGCATTTGAAGCAAACTGGAAAGGTGAAAAAGCTTGTTAAGTGGGTGCCTCATGAGTTGATCAGAAATTTTAAAAAATCATTGTTTTGAAGGGTCATCTTATTCTATAAAACAACAGTGAGCCATTTCTTGATAAGATTGTGACTTACGGCGGAAAGTGGATTGTATGTGACAGCCGGCGATGTCAGCAGTTGAACCAAGAAGAAGCTCTGGTGCATCCCCGAAGCCAGACTTGCACCAGGAAAAAGTCACGGTCACTGTGTGATAGTCTCCTTCCCGTCTGGTCCACTACCGCTTTCTGAATCCCAGCGAAACCGTTACATCTGAGAAGTGTGCTCAGTGATTCGATAAGCTGCACCAAAAACTGCAACGCCTGCAGCCAGCATTGGTCAACAGAAAGGGCCCAGTTCTCCACAGCAACACCCAACTATACGTTGCACAACCAACACTTCGAAAGTTGAACTAATTGAGCTACGAAGTTTTGCCTCATCTGCCATATTCACCAGACCTTTTTGCCAGTCAACTACCATTTCTTCAAGCATGTCAACAACTTTTTGCAGGGAAAATGCTTCCACAACCAGCAGGAGACAGAAAATGCTTTCCAAGAGTTCATCAAATCCCTCAGCACGGATTTTTACACTATGGGAATAAATAAACTTATTTCTCATGGGCAAAAATGTGTTGATTGTAATAGTTCCTGTTTTGATTAATAAATATGTGTTCGAGCCTAGTTATAATGATTTAAAATTCACGGTCCGAAGCCGCAGTTACATTTGCACCAACTGAATAGGTTTGCATCAGTGATCTTAAATGTGAGAAGGTGATCATTGTGGTTATTTTTTTCAAGGGATCTTCTGGAGATACTGCAAACCGTTTTCCAGTGCCTTCTTTGCCAAATGGCAACTCCAAACCAGGGAAGCCTCATGTGAAGTTTGACAAGTAAGACCTTGGGTGCTGCTCCCTTCATCTTCGCCTGCCTCCTCCCCCTGCTGCCTCCCGTTCACACACCCCCAACCCCCCTGTCCCCCCGTCCTTTCACCCTCTAGTCCTTTCGTTCCAGTCCAGTACCTGTAGCTTCCTGTGACCCACTCATGGTCTTTTTCTTCTCTTTCAGACAACAAGCCGATTTTCACCTGAAGGAAGCCAAAAGGTTGAAGGACAAAGCAGAATTAGTGGTCCGTCTCGGCTCGTTCTCCCTTGGGTGGAATGTTTTCTGATAAAATACTTGCCGTCTCATTCTGCCGTATTCCACATCACTAACCGTGGAGTGGGGTGGTGGGGGAAGGCAGGGCAGCGTGGGGCATAAGAGCATCAGCAGGTCAGAATCAGTGAGGGGTGAGGGGTTCCTAGTGGAGTGACATGACTGTGGCTTCATTGATTCAGTTTGATCGTGGGCAGATAGAGTATCAGCGTGTGTTTTATGTCTACATGAGTGAAAGTTGATCTACCTGATACTGTTTTATGTAATACACACAAGTGCTTCCTTGTCCCACTGAATCTGTTCTTTGGATCTGAAAAACAACTCTGGCTTTCTGAAAGCTGGTCAGTTTGTGTTCACCCCAAAACATTTCAAAACGTAAGGTAGCCTGCATTCCAAAATTATTCGAAAGCCCCAGAGAGACCAGCAGTGAACAGTGGACCAGTGCCATCAGAGGGAATTCTGCAGTGAGGCTGACGATGGCGCCATCGGTGAACAGGCGAGGAGCTGTCTTTCCCTGGCGGCTGCTGGACCTTCTGGAAGGCGGCAGTTTTTGTTCGTTGCGTACACAATTGAATCTGCTTTTAATTCTGTGCTGCAGTGTAGTCGGATAAGGCCTGCCCTTTGTCATAGTTAAACATCTAAGACTCGGGGGTTTTATTTACGTGGTGTATTCCCTACACCCAAACTCATGCAGAGACCATATGTTGAACTTTGCACCGCAGCAGCGTCAGTTGCTTTGGTTCTGTCACATGCAGACGTAACGACAAACTCTGGTGGTCCACGGGGATTGAATGGGATCCATCCATGGTGGCCTCAAAATCCACACCCACCTCTCTCAGTGTTCCTCACCCCCAGTCTGTAGACTGGCATCTATTCTCAGGCTTGGGAGGGCTGGGCGAAGTCCCTTTTATCAGGTGACTGTTCATCAGGGTAGGATGCTTATTGAGTCCTTCTCGTGTTGGCTGCCGTAAGAGGGTCACAGGCAAAGTTAGGCGCTATCTGCAAAGTGACTCTGTACCGGGATAACCTGAGTCAGGCTAAGCTGCCTCAAGCTGCACCAGCCAATACCATGTCCTCAGCCTCTTCCCTTTCACTTCTCCGAGGCTGTTGTGAGAACTGTATATATCTTTGGGTTTTTGAAATAGAGTAAATATCAGGTACTTTGCCACTTACCGACAGCTTATCTTGACATTGGGCACTTTCAGCACTAGAGTCCCTCATTATTCAAACAAGATTACGACTCCTGGGAACTTCTTTGTATGTCGTATTTCATCTGCACATATGCACATCTTCTTTCTCCCTTCCTATGGCTATTGCATCCATTTTAATAAACAATATTAACTCATTCTACTCTCAAAATGTGCTGGTTTGGATGGAAACCTGAGTGGCCAGCCTCTTTATTCTGTTTTCCTTTAATCGCACAATGTCTTAAACATGTCCATCTTGCGAATCAGATAGTTAAGTCCATAACTAACAATGTCTTAAACATGTCCATCTTGCATATCAGACAGTTAAGTCCATAACTAAGTTTCAGTTCAGTTCAGTCACTCAGTCGTGTCCGACTCTTTGAGAGGAATGTATTTCATCTCTGTTCTCTTACTTATTGTTGGGTAAGGAAATTAGAACTCTGCAACCCACTGCAGTCTTCTTGCCTGGAAAATCCCAGGGACGGAAGAGCCTGGCAGGCTACAGTCCGTGGGGTTGTAAAGAGTCTGACACGACTGAGCACATTAGCGCAGCATGTAACACCTTTAACACTGTCCCAGGAGGCCCATAGAGTTATCACAGGAATATTATCTTTAGTGACCTTACAAAATTCTCAAAGAAGTGGGAATTGGCAAATTGCCTTAGTATAGTTATTTTTGTTTCTACCCTGAGGCCAATATAAATTTTGAAAATCCCATGAAAGAGATGGTGTTGGATAAGTAAATTGGAAGAGTTAAATTCCCATCAGTGAAGCAAACCAATAAGACCCTTTACTGTTGATCATTTGGGGGCATGCTGATTGGATTTTTATTCTTTCTGTCACTGATTTTCTGAGCCTGGTTTCTCTAGAAGAAATGTCTTAAAATCAAGTTAATTTTAAAAAATGAAAGGTAGCAGCCATCTTTCTTTGCCAGACCATGTTTCTTTGCTAATTCGTCACCATCTCTTTACACTCCACTTACGTCTTTACGGTTTTCAGTCTTCCTTTTTGAACATACCAGGTTAGAGGCATTAGCAGAAACTACAGCCTTGCACATGTCAGGTTGATCAGTTGCTCTTACATCGTGTGCTGCATATGCATGTGGAGAGGAAAGTGGAGGCTCTCGCCCCAGTCTCTGTTGAGTTGGCTGAATTCCACCAAGTGAGAAGAGTGTTAAGTGACAAAATGTGTATTCAGGCTTAACTGACCGCCAGGATCTGGTTGCATTCCTCCGTCTGCATTCCCATTGAGGGACTCTGAAATGTTATCCCTGTTGACCCAGAGGACCGCCTTGTGCCCTTAACCCAGGCTTCCAAAGAGGGGATCTGTTGGGCTGTAAAATACATCAAAAGATTATTGTTCGACATGATACCTGAGATGCTTGTAAACCAGAACATTTTTTTACTTGTTAAAAGATAAAGTTCAGCACATACAAAGAAACTGTGAATGCATTATCCTAGATGTATAGCATAACCTATTTTTCAGGAAAATCATATAATGGGTAACCGCACGCTAGTAACAAGGGGACCGTGTACTTACTCCCTTAGCTTGAGTATGTACTTCAGTAGATTTTGAGAAGTGAGTGTTAATACAAGATTGTGTTCTCTTTCCTACTGAATTTTTGCTGGAAGAAAGTTCTCAGTAGGTCAGAGCGGATGGGCTTTTGGTTATCATGGTTAAGTTAGCCTGTCTCTGACTTCCTTCCAGCCATAGTTCAGCTAAGACGGTGGAGGCCAGTTTCTGTAAAGAACATGTATGAGAAACTAAGGAAAAGTCCGTGTTAGGCTTAACAAGGACCATGTTCTTCACCCACAGACGGACAAGGTCGGGAAGGCTTTTAAATACCTGGAGGCTGCCTTGTCCTTCATTGAGTGCGGCATCGCCATGGAGTCGGAGAGCCCCGCGTCCAAGTCGGCATACTCCATCTACTCGGAAACCGTGGACCTCATTAAGTGAGTGCCTGCTCGTGTTGTCTTCCTCTTAGTACTCCCTGCCCTCACCTTGACGGCTTTTATCCATGTGAACTTCGGTGTGAGGACAACTTAACAAAGGGGAGTCTTTAAGAAGTCACTGATCCAGGAAGTTGGTTGGGTTTTTTTTTTTTTTAACTTTTTTTTATCATAAACTGAAAGTGTGTTCCAGGTGAAGTGCTTGACCAGAATAACTCGGTCCAGCAAAGTGAACTGTGAAATGCCAGTCCCTTTAGGGAGGGGGTTGGTTTTTTCCAGCTTGACTTACTTATCAGATGCCCTCTCGTCTCCGCTGCAGCTCTCTCATCTTTATCACCTGCGTTTCAGCAGGGGACTCAGTAAGAACACAGGTCTACTTGGTTTCACGCAGGTGGATAGGTGAGAGAGCAGGCATGTCCTCGCCTCGTCTTCTGAATGGCTTGAATTATCGCGCTAAAGCCTCGTTTGTGTTCTATGCTGCCATCGTGTCGTTACATCTTTAGGAAAAATCAATATGAAACCAAGACAAACATAGTGTGTCTTTGTGCCTAGAGTTTTCTGATTGCCTATTTTGACTTGATGTACATGTATATTTTCTTGTAGGTTCATATTGTCATTAAAATCCTTCTCGGATGCCACAACACCAACACAGGAGAAGATATTTGCTGTTCTATGGTATGTATTTTTCCCTTTGTCTAAAGAGCATTACATTTGCTTTTGCATCTCTTGATGTTACCAAGAGAGTTTGATATCTTGTTTTCTTAAAATGAAAATAATAATGAAAGGTGAATCAGCACCAGAAAGTGAGAGGATGTGTGTCAAGGGGTTAATCCCACTGGTGGTTAATTATTATGAGATGTCATCTACTGCCATTTTACTGATGACTCAGATTCTTTGGTCTTGTGACTTAAATTATATCCGTGTATATCTGTGTTTGATCATTAGAATGCAGGGGGATTCTTTACCGTCTGAGCCCCAAAGGAAGCCCATTAATTGGAAAAGAACCAACTCATTGGAAAAGCCTGAAGCTGGGAAAGATTGAGGGCAGGAGGAGAAGGGGGCAACAGAGGATGAGATGGTTGGATGGCATCACTGACTCAGTGGACATGAGTTTGAGCAAACTCTGGGAGATAGTGAAGGACAGGGAAGCCTGGTGTGCTACAGTCCATGGGGTCACAAAGAGACGAACATACACAGCTTAGTGACTGAACAACAACAAATATCGGTGTTGTTTCACCTGTATTTACTTCTGGTGCTAGTACAGGGAGATTCTTGGTGTTCTTCCGCTTGTTAATGAGGAAAATCCAGTGGTGTTCCTCAGGGTGGAAAAGGTGTGGTGGCTTGCTCTCTGTAGTGGTAATACTCATGTCTCCAAGGCAGTGCTTCATTTCCACTTATGTTTATGTTCACAGCATGCGTTGCCAGTCCATTTTGAACATGGCGATGTTTCGTTGTAAAAAAGACATGGCAATAAAGTATTCCCGAACTCTTAACGAACACTTCTTCAAGACTTCTTCCAAGGTTGCCCAGGCACCTTCTCCATGCATTGCAAGGTAATGACCAGCCTAACTGAAATAACTGCCAGTGTTAAGTGCTTTTTTATGTGCCTCTCGTGTGCCTTCTGGGCTTCCCTGGTGGCTGAGAGGTTAAAGCACCTGCCTCCAATGTGGGAAACCCGGGTTCGATCCCTGGGTCGAGGTGATCCCCTGGAGAAGGAAATGGTAACCCACTCCAGGATTCTTGCCTGGAGAATCCCATGGATGGAGGAGCCTGGTAGGCTACAGTCCACGGGGTCGCCAAGAGTCGGAGACGACTGAGTGATTTGTGTGTGTGTGCGCCTTCAGCATGTCAAAAATTATATACTTCCATGTGCCGTCTTGCTTCTTCAACTGAAATCACCAGCACATCTCTACCTTTTTGAGGAGTCATTAGAAATCACGATACTTGCTGGTTGGGCAACATAAAAAGATAATTGCAAAGAATACAGGGTCCATATATCAGAACTTGAGGATGTTTAGATATGCCCAACAATGCAACAGGCAAAGCTAGTGGAACCAGAGACAAAGTCCTTTATCCTTCTAGACCAGAGGTCCCTCACCTCCAGGATCTAATGCCTGCTGATGATCTGAGGTGGAGCTGATGTAATAACAATAGAAATAAAGTACATAATAAACATAATGCGCTTGAATCATCCTGAAACCATCCCATGCCCGCCCACCCCCCCACCCCCCCTACCCCCCCCCCCCCCCCCCGCCCCAAAGGTCCATGGAAAAATTGTCTTCCTCAAAACTGGCCCCTGATGCTGAAAAGGCTGGGAACCACTGTTCTGTACAGCTTGCCTTCTTGGCATTTCACTAAACGAGAAGTTTGCAGAACCAGTTGCCTGCCACCTTTTCAGGATCTGTAACAGATACGAAGAAAGAAAAGCTAAATTCCTTCCCCCACTCTGTGAACTGCTATCCCATGAACTGTCGAAAAGCAGAGTCCTTGTGCAGGTGTTTTTAAGGTGAAGATACAGAATTTCCTGCCCTTTAGTACTTGTCTAGTATTTTTTTTTTTTTTTAATTTGGTTATCCTCCTTGAAAAGCTCCCAGTTCTGATGGGTTTTGCTATTTTAAGAGCATCACCTAGAAGCCTGCCCCATTTCCAGCAGGTTCAAAAGAGGAGATTCCCACATGGTTTCTCTTTTTAAAAAAAAAAAAACTGTCCTGATTGAGAACGAAATTCTTTACCTCTGAAAATGACTCCCACCTCTGAGGTAATATTCCCAAATAACAGGTTGTCAGTCACTTTGTTTTTTAAGTTTTTATTTTATATTGGAGTGTAGCCGGTTAACAGTGTTGTGGTTGCTTCGGGTGGGCAGCCGAGGGACTCAGCCCTCCGTACACTTGTGTCCGTTCTCCCCCAGACTCCCCTCGCATCCAGGCTGCCGCGTAACATTGGACGGAGTCCCCTCGGCTGTAGGAGGCCCTTGTTGGTTATCCGTTTTCAGCAGGCAGTGCGCACATGTCCATCCCAAACTCCCTAACCGCCCCTTCCCGCCCTCCTTCCCCCAGCTGCCATACCTTTGTTCTCTGAGTCTGTGAGTCTGTTTTGTACACAAGTTTATTTGTATCATTTCTTTTTAGATTCCACCCATAAGGGATGCCATAGGCTACTTCTTGCTCTGTATCACTCACATACTTTTAGATCGGTCCTTCACCAGGCGTCTCTGAGCACCCGCCTGGTACCAGACCTTGTTGTAGGTGCAGGAAAGCCTCAGTAAACAAGGCAGACAGGAACTGCTGCCCTTGGCGGGGGATCCTACTCTGGTCCTTCAAAGCGTGCCTTCTGCCGGGGACACGTAGGATCCCTGAGGCCCCATCGAGCCCAAGGGCGGGTGTCACCAGGTCACGGCCGCTGGCCCGTCTTTCCGTTCGTATGCCTCAGTGCTTAGGTCTGAGCGACTGCACTTGCTTTCTCATCTGATCCATGTCAAGGCGCGCTTGCAGGTGCGGGCGGACGGTCCCTCGGAGAGCAGAGGGCGCGCTGTGAGGCTCTGAGGCCCAGTCTCCTCGTGGACTGTCCCCTGTTCAGCCAGTCACAAGTTCAGCAGGTGTTTACCCAGAGCACATAGACGTGCAGAGACGGTGCTCGTGAGGCAGGAGAAGGAATAGAAAAGTAGGAGGAGACGTGATAAATGCAAGGAGACGAGTTAGGTGACAGAGAGGAAGCTGAGATGTGTCCCCAGGGTCTGGGAGAGCACCAGGTGCAGAGGAGGAGCTCAGGGATGTTTATATGAAAGAAGGAATATGTCAGAGATGATGCGCATCTTCTCAGGGGAAGTGTTGTCTTCCCAGGAGAAGCTGGAGTTAGGGGGTGGGGAGAGAAGAGATTCCAGATGCAGAGGGCCCAGGAATACACTGGGAATACGGATCGGCCCACCCAGTTCTGTGTCCAGGGAAGGCCACCTTCCCCACGTTTAGTTCCTTTTTCCACTTGGAGGGTCCGATGCCACTGTGCTTTAGCAAATAAATTTCCAACATCCTGAAGGGGAAGGGCGTCTCTTTGACCTCACAGAAGTGACTGGCATCTTGGCAGGTACACGCAGAGACCGGGTGACTGGGACTGCGGTTCCAGAAGCAGTTTAGGTGATTAACCAGTTCTCTTTTCTCCCGCTTCCCAGAGGCACAGGCACACCGTCCCCCCTGTCTCCGATCCCTTCTCCGGCCAGCTCCATAGGGTCCCAGTCAAGCGCGGGGAGCGGGGCACTGCCCCCCACCATCAGCACCCCAGTCACCATCCAGAACATGACATCCTCCTACGTCAGCATTACTTCCCACGTCCTTACTGCCTTTGACCTGTGGGAACAGGCTGAGGTCCTAACCAGAAAGAACAAAGGTAAATGGTTCTGTGGTGGTCGTCATCGGGCCACGGGGATTGGGCGGGGAATAACATTTTGTGTTCCCTTCAGTGTTTTGGCCTTTTTGTTGTTGTTTTCAATTATAGGTGATTTACAATGTTGTGTTAATTTCTACTGTAAAGCAAAGTGATCCAATTGCCCATACATATATTCTTTATTATTTTCCATTACGGCTTATCACAGGTTGTTGAATATAGTTACCTGTGCTATAGAGTAGGACCTGGTTGTTTATCCATTCATTCTATGCTACATGTAATGGTTTGCATCTGCCAACTCCAAACTCTTAATGCAGCCTCGCCCACCTCCCCTCCACCTTGGCAACTAAGTCTGCTCTCTATACCTGCGAGTCTGTTTCTGTCTCATAGGTAAGTTCATTTGTCATATTTTAGATTCCACATGCAAGTGATAGCATATGGTATTTGTCTTTCTCTTGCTGACTTAACCTCACTTAGTATGATAATCTCTGGGTCCACCCATGTTGCTGCAAATGGCATTATTTCATTCTTTTTCATGGCTGCATAGTAGTCCATTGGATATATGGACTATGTCTTTGTCCATTCATCTGTGGGTAAACATTTAGTTTCTTTTCATGCGTTGGCTATTGTGAATAGTGCAGCTGTGAAAGTCTAGGTGCATATATCTTTTTCTTTTTTAGAAAAATATTTATTTTTAATTGATTGATGATTGCTTTACTGTATTGGTTTGATTTCTGTCATGCATCATCATGAATTGACGATCTGGGTGCATATATCTTTTTGAGTTAGAGTTTTGTCTGGATATATGCTCAGGGGTGTGGAGTTGCTAGATCATATGGCAATTCTGTTTTTAGCTTTTTGAGGAACCTCCATACTGTTTGCCACAGTGACTGCCCCAACTTACAGTCCCACCATCTGTTCAATGTTTTGAAGAAGAGGAACTTGTAGCTATTTACTCTTCTCGCATTTTCTCCATTCTGTCACAGGTCTTCCTTGAGATGGATTTCTGTGACTCAGTCTTAGCAAAATTAAATTAGAAGTGGCTTCTGCACTGTGCCCCTTTGGAAGTTTTGGTATCATTGGTGGTGGTTTAGTTGCTAGATCATGTCTGACCCTCGCAACCCCATGGCCTAGGGTCTCTGCCTGGCTATACTGTCCGTGGGAGTTTGCAGGGAGGAATATTGGAGCGGGTTGCCCTCTCCTTCTCCAGGGCGTCCTCCCAACCTGGTGCAGGCAAGAATACTGGAGCGGGTTGCCCTCTCCTTCTCCAGGGCGTCCTCCCGACCTGGTAGTTGAACCCAGGGTTTCAGTACTACAGGCGGATTCTTTACCAGCTGAGCTACGAGGGAAGCATTTGGCATCATTATTTCCCCCTGAACCAAAGTGCCAGTGAAAGGGCAAAGAAAGTGCAGAAGGAAAGGCATCAGCTCTCGCCAGGCACAATACCTTTGACGTGGGAAGTGGCATCACCTAAAATACTGAGCTTATTGTTAGTTTTCAGTGTACATCAAGAAAGACGGTTAGCAACCATATAGGAAAAATACAGCTTAGTGAACAGTCTTGAGTCTTGTTTGAGAAGAAGGCCCTTGGAGAAATCCAAGGTTTAGGAGATGATCGATCATCCTATCAGAGGAGCTGTTTGGTGGTTGTGACCATTAAGTAAAAGCATATATGTAAATACCAGATGAAAGCCTGGACGTATTCTTGCCTGGCTATAGAGAAGCAATCAGAATTCCTCACAGCCTCTTGAAACTTCATTTTCTTCCTTAGCAAACTAATGGTGCTTTTTTTTTAAAACATGTTGGGTATTTTTGTTTGTTTTCATTCATGCATCCATTGATCCAAAAGTATGATGTCAGCCACTGTGCCAGGCATTATAGAGTCAACGGTGAAACAAACATAGTTCCTCCACTTTTAGAACTACTGGAGAGATGTGGAGAATCAGTAAACCATCACAGTAGATTGTGATTTTTTTTTGCTGTGCTAGAGGAAGCACAGAGTACTGTGGGGATCAAGTTTCTGGAACCTTGACTTTGACTTTTTGTGTGTTTATTTTTGCATGTGCGAGTGTGTTTACGTGGTTTTGGGTTTGCTTTGTTCGCAGAATTCTTTGCTCAGCTCAGCACAAGTGTGTGCGCTTTGGCCCTCAACAGCAGTTTGGTGGATCTGGTGCACTATACAAGACAGGGTTTCCAGCGGCTAAAACAAGTAACCAAAACACCTTAACGGAGGCCCAGGTGGATTCGATGCCTTGGGAACTATTTTGCACATTGGAAGCCTCAAAACAGTCCAGACATTTGTCTCTTTAAGAATACCAAACTCAAGAAGAGAAGCACCATGAGGTGGCCAGGACGTTTATTCACTGAAGCTTGAGAACTGGGATCGCTGGTTGGACAGGATGGTTTTGCAGAAGCAGAAAGGAAGGAGGCTGGCCTCAGAGATGATCTTGCCTTTCCTAACTAAAGGATGGAAGTGCAATGTAGCCTGAGTGGGTGTATTCTTGGTCTAGAAACATTTCTATATTTTTTTAACCAGCAGAATGCGAATGAAATGAGGAGAAGCAATTTCAACTCTGAAATCAAATTCACATCATCTCAGTAGCCACATTAGTTCATTCCCAGAAGGAAATTTTTTTTTTAAACCAGTGAGTTGTGGTGTAGGGTTTTGTGGGTAATCTGTTTTTTAAGTTGTGGGGGGAGTATTTGTTTAATAAATTCTAATGGTCACCCATAAAACATGAGTTGTGGAGGACTCCGCTGCACCCCCCCCCCCCCCCCCCCGCCAGTGAACAATGGCTCCGATAATACCAGGCATTGTCCTAATATATAAAGTTGAAAGCACCCCCGCTGCCTGGACACTGCCCGTGCAGCACAGCTCCGAGTTCCCCGTTCCGGTGCTGGAAGGCGGCCCTGACGGAGCTACAGCATCTGCATCTCCGCCCGCATCTCCACCGCCAGCGCCGCCTGCATCTCCACGTGCCACGTGCTGCGGAGGGCCTAGTGCCGCCGTCCCATCCCCTGATCCGGCAAGAGGCAGTCACATTGACTGTATTCTGCATTTTCTGCTTTGGGGAAGAGGGGAATCAACGCTTACCCGTGACCAGAGGGTTGAAACGCTTCTTAATTTTTGTGAAGTAGAGCTGGATTTTGAGGTGCTGCTCTGTGGCCTGGTTATGCGGAAACTTACGTTGTCTAACCGACTCAAGAGTTTTGTCAGCGAATGAAGAAAAAGGAAATCTACTTCTTAGAGAGGCTATATTTTTCTGCTACGAATTACTTTATATTTATAGCAAAATTAGACTTTGAGAGCCCTTGATTGTCTTTGTCTAGGGGAAGTTAACTCCCTGAGAGGCTGTGGAGATTTGGGGTAGTTAATTGGACTTAATAATAATAATAAAGTCACCGCATGCCTTCACTCCAGAGTGCACACTGTCAACTGGATTTGATTAGATTGAAGAAGATCTGTGGCCTTCCTGTAAGTTGTTTTTGCCAGATTCTATACATTAAGCCAAGTTTATTTTGAATAACCTAAAAGTGGGGGAAGAAAAGAACAACAAAAATATGAAACCCCAGAATTCCCACATATCCATAAGCACAAATTTTTTTCATTGAAACTTTGATGGTTATTATTGGAAGCATTATTACGAATGTAGTATTTTTAGAAGCTAATTCTTTTTATCCCTTTTAGAAGTAGAATTTGCACATGTATCACAATTGAGGAGTATTACCGCTGCAGCTGGTTTATTTTTCTTCCTTCATCCCATTCCACTTCCCTGCGTGTTGTTTCCTCCCAAGCGTGTTGGACATTGTCATATTTATTTATTAGTGAAGAAAGGCGTGCCATCTTTATTTATAATGAAGAGGTCTAAAGTCCATACGATGAATGTAAGAACTTTCTTGGTAACTATGTAAAAGGGATGTAGAGAGGACGGGAGTGAAGCTTATTTTTCGCAATATAAATTGTTTGTGTGAAGCTATTCCTTCCATGTCATTTATTATCCAGCCTGTTCTTTGGTTATCGCCAGCTTAGGTTAGAGCGAGAGAATTACAGTAGCAGTAATAACTGATGTGCGATCTCGATGGACCGATGTCATCTATTGCTGCTCTAAGGCAGAGCCACGGTCCTTTCTAAACTCCTCGTTTAAAAAGCAGCCTGTTACATGAACAGTAATTGCCTGGAAGGTCGTGTGCTTGCGGCACTGTGTGTCAGGCTCTTCTGTGTAGGAGACGAGACACGAGAATCAGGCTTCTGTGGTTACTAAACACCTTCTTTCCCCTCTTACTCCCTTGGTCATTCCCAGCCCCTTCACCCCATCACTCCCCAGGGCAAGCCACCTGTCAGTATGGAAGGGTGTGTTCTTAAGGACAGGCTCCGATCTATGCAGACCACGCCGAGTGCCCCTGAACTGAAGACATTTCCCAAGTTAATTTCCCAGCCATTTCTAGAAGAGGCTATTGCTTTTTCAGCGGCCTTATGCTTTGTGTGTGTGTCTTTTCCACCCTGACCTTTATCTGAAGATTTTATTTGTCCCTTGCAGAGATCAGTTTGTACTATTTTGATCATGGAGTATTTCTGATTCTTAACTGCAACATGCATTGTGCCCAAAAGAATTCTTAATGGCAACTTTTAAAATAGAGGATGTAAAAGGGTAGTGGCTGATAAATCCTTCATGTTCATAATGTCTTTTCACTGTTACAGTTGTATATAGAAACCTAAAGGATTTTTAAGTCATATGCACTTTTTCATTGCATGCTTAATTTCCCAAAGGCAAAATTTGTACCGCAGTAGATAATTGAAGGGACTAGATTATAAAATTAAGCCTTTGAATATGTGAAGTTCTTATAACAACCATAATAGTACACACTTCACAGTGAGGCAAATGCAGAACATCTTGAGTGAAAAATGGAGTCTAAAAATTTTGCCTTTGGCACTACAGTTTTGTGTTTGTATGTGTGTGTATGTATGTGTGTCTGTCAATCTTTACTAGGAAATGGAAGAACACTGTTTTACTTATAAAATGTTGAATGTTTCTGTCCTTCCTGGAGATAATTAAAATGTGAATCACTGAATTTAAGGTTTTAGCCAGACTGAGGGCCCTGATAGACAATGAAAGACATTTCACCGAAATTTACCAAATTACACTGGGTTAAGAATGTGAAACATTGGCCATGTGCCATCTATGGTAGAAGATGGGAGGGTCCACCTGGCATATTGTCAGGAGTAGAGCTATAGCAGAAGGATGACTTATCTGATGCTATGATTTAACCTCAATACTGAATGGGAAAAGCATCTTTTTTTTTTAACAAAAGGACCTTTATTTTACAATTTGTTTTGACCAAAATGTTTAACTATTTCCCCAAGACAAATTGGGGAAATTTATCTTTATCTTCCTCATTTATCTTCCTCATTCTGTGTCCTTTAATTCCCAATCTTGGGATGTTTAGAAGCTAACAAACTATACCCCTTTCTGGCTAAAAACTTGCCTTAATTGGTACCTCAAATATTAATGTCAGGATCAAGAACTTACTATTTTATGATCCCTGTTCAATAATTTTTAGAAGCAAAAAAAGAAAAACCATCGTGCCCTCCAAAATGAACAGAACTCTTTATCTCTAATATATGAAAGGAAATGTGTGTGTGGACATGCATACACAGAAAATAAGAGGCTGACTGAATTGAATATATTTATTGTGCCTTTGTTGACCGACCAGATTTTGGAATAATGCTGTATTCATTTTGCCATGGCTCTACGAGACATCAGGTAGAACTTACACCTTTTTCTCTTCTGTTCTCATAAAGTTGGAGGTGTATTTGTGCATCTTTTATGTAAATGAATCAAATCAGGCTCTGATTCCTTACCTCCCACCACAGAGCCTACTTTTTGCTCAAGGATTTATTTTCCCAGACACTACACAAAATCTGTGAAAAACCTTGTCACTCCATCTGTTACACTCTTTACTGCCGATTAGCAGTATTTAAATGTTGCTGGAATATTTGGCTGCCTTTTAGAAACACAAGCATAGAGATATGTTCATTGTGGGGGGGCGTGAGGGAGAGAGCGGTACTTGGTCCCTTTTTCTCTTTCTCTGGTGAGTTGCTTCTTTTGTTTTTGGTTCTACTTAGAATTTGTGGATTTTTTTTTTCCCCTATAGTTTTCTTTTGTCATTTTGTTGGTAGGAGGAGGTGGAGTGGCAGAGTGGTGTGGGGGATTTTCCAACAAACGTGACAAGTGGTATTTCTACCATATAAACTTCAACTATTCAATCCCCTTATGTCAGTCACCAAAAATCTGGGAATGAATTGTGACCACTGGCCATGTTCATTAGTTCTTATTTATGAGGAGTTGACAAGCACCGTCTACCACATCTCTTAAGGTGGCTGTAAATTTCCTGCTGTCTCAGGGAAAGACATTACATTCTGTTCCATGGTGTGCTCGATAGCAACAGGTACTGTGATGGGTTGAGAAGTTGCCTGTATTTCTCTGCCCAAGAGGACAGGCAGGAAACTTACAGCCCCCTGGGAGCTAAGATCTTATTACTCTATTGGCCTGAAAAGGACAAGGGCGTAAGACCACTGAGGCTGGCCACGCTGCGCTGGTCAGACCAGGCAGTGGCTGACCTAAGCAAGATAGCTTGCTTTGCTCAAAAGTAGATGTTGAAGCGATGCTTAATACAGGCAGTATTACCTTTTGTTAATTTAACTTTTGTTTAATGACAGAAGGCAGGATCCGCCTTTTGTTCAGGCCATCGACATGTATTGTTAAGACTGCACATCCCCTCCTCAGATATCAAGTGTACACTGTTCATGTTGGTATGTGTGTTTATACACGTGTGTCCCAAATCGTGTGTGTGTGTGTGTTTTCTTCTGAATGTGGTCATGTTTTGGATGATACCTGAGCAGGGTTGCCTTTTTTTTTAATTTATTACCATTATATATTATATTATATATTTTTTGCTTTCTTGTAACCTTAGAGGAAAGTCAAATCTTGGTATTATTAAAATTGTTTAAAAAAGAATAAATCGTCCAGTCGATCAATGAAGATCACTGGTCTATCTCTAAAATAATATGAACTTTTCTTTAATTATTGTGTAATAAGGTGCCAGCTATCTAGTCCACACAGTGATTTTGTACGTAGGATAGGGAAGCAGTGACGTGCCCAGCGGGAAGTTGTGCAGCACAGAGAAAAGGAGGACTCTGTGTTTTATCTACTTCAGCAACGGAACTGCGACCTGGGGCTTTTGTGAACAAAATTTAGCTGCCTTGTATAGTTCTTTGAAAGAGACATACGTGATCTGTGAGAATTATAGTTTTTTTTTTTTAGAAGAAAAATTTGCAAAAGATCTTTCCAAAGATAATGTGCCACAGATCTTTTGTTCTCTGTAATGAGGATTCATTGCTGTTTAAAAAAACATGTAATTGACTTGTTTGTCTTCAGATTCTTTACTTTTCACTAGAGGATCGAGCTGTAAAAAAAAAATTAATAAAAGTTTAGAGAAATCATTGGCGTGGAATGCATGCTTTCACTTTGCCTGTAATTGTAAAGGAATTCCTAAAATTGCTATAGGTAGTTACCACTCACAGCCCAGGAGAGTCTCACGTGGAATAATTTGCCATTATTCACATTATGTTTTGTTGAAATGGAAAAGGGGCAGGGAGAAGGTAGCGATTCCTTCTGTTCAGTTTAGTTACAAGACCTCATTCACAAACAAGCCTGATACCACCAGCATTAGGTCGCTTATCCTAACATCAATTGCCAGGTACAAGTGACCAAATCTGCCTCTTTGCAGTTTGCAGGGTGTGGGTGGACATATTTGTAGAATGTTGATATTGTAAAGACTCTAAAGGCCATCTGGTTTCCCTTCCCTTTGCCACTCCGAAAGGAATAATACTCTACATGCTGAAATATGAGACTCTCTAATTAAATCCTGCTCTCTGGTCTGCTGTGTGACTGTGGGCAAGTTAGTTAACCTGGGCTTCTTTTCTCATCAGCGAAAACTGATTTGGTATCTACTTAGGTAGGAGCACGTTAGATGGTGTAGAGAGTGCTTAGTCTAGTGCCTCTGCCCTAAACACTCAGACGGGGCTTTTTTAAACCTCCCGCCTCCCCTCACTGTGCCGCGGTATTCCCACAGGTGACCTTCGGTCCCTGACTGAACACTGATAAAGATCTTGCTCCCCACCTCTCCTACTTTGATATTTGTTCTTCCTTACTTTAGGCTGACC